ACCTGAGATATATGTGTTAAAATAGCTTCTCTGTGGAAAGTTAATTTATTTATGGGCCAAATCATGAAAATACATTCCAAAACCAGACTAAAAAAATGAGTGCAAACAAGTTCCAGCAGCTGTAAATGGTTCCTCCTGGTTAAAATGTGAGTCTTACTTAAAAAGATACTTCGCCCAGACGATGCAGTGAATTGGTTCCGATGGTGTGTTTCTGATGGTGCATCCTGGGAAGGTCTTTTGGGCCGGCTTTGGTACGCACTCATAGCACTCAGTCATTCCCTAGTACAGTCATAAAGAGAGGACATTGTAAATACGGGCAGTCCTTCTAAATCATTTTCTTATAAAGAAATAAAAAGGCAATTTTTTGACAAGTTACCTTTTTGATGACTGTGACCTGTCCCAGGTACCCTGCTGTGCCACTTTCAATTAGAGGAATGTCCGCTGCCAGGCACATCCTGTTAACATGATTACGGGCAGCTGGAAGGAAAAAGAAGCAAAACATTTATCAATCACCTGAGTGCATCTTTCAAGGAGAGCTCAATAAAAAAAAATAAAAAAATCTCATCTCAGGTCACCTCTGTTATCCAGAGCGTTCATCACCAGGCTGAACTTTCTAAAGAACTCCACATTGTAATCAGGGCTAGAAAAAAAATAAATAAATAACCAAACACATTTTGGTAAGATCTATTTCATTTTAAGAAATAAAAGGAAATCTCACTTCATGATGCTGTCGTGGTAGGCTGTGATATTTGCTGTGGGGCAGAACTGCAAGGCGCTCTCTTTGGCCACCTGGAAAACCCCCAGATTTCAGAGTGAACATGTGGCTGAACATGATGCGAGCCCATGCAGCACACTGCAGTTCTTTGGAGGTTACATACCTCTGCTTTAGACTTCCCAACATGCTTCTTCTGAAAGAGAAACTGACGGTTCAGGTTGCTTACGTCGATGGTGTCCAGGTCAATCTGCAGGAATCATTAAATAAGTAAGTTTCTTGTGCTTCTGCTTGTTTAAAAGTTCAAAAGGCATGGGACAGAATCATTTAATACAAACTCTTTTAAATAATTTGTTTATAGTAATCAAGAAATCTGCTTATAGTATTCATTTTTGGCCATTTTATGAATGCAAACATTTGTAAAAATAATTCATAAGCTGATCGAAAGCGATGACAGCACTCTGGTGTCAGAGCCCGTGATGGATGAGGACATCATCGCGGAGGTCCCTTCCAGGGCTGAGATGAGGAATGCAGTTTAAACTTTAAAGACTGGTCTCCTGCATGTTGGTTTCAACAACTTTCACCTTTTACATCATTTTGAAAAACAAGTGAACTCGTGTTGGACAACACTCTGATCCAGGGAACCATGGATAAATATGTGAGGTGATTTCTTAATGCGGCGCAACAGGTCCGCAACACAAAACAGAGGTAGGCTAGCTTTAATTTTCTGTAGCCTATGCTGTTATCTTCTATGTTGGTGTTCTATGAAACCATTTGTTTCAAACTTCAGACTTGTTTAAAAAAAAGCATTAGCGGCACCAGGCTACCAGTTATGTCTACGCACAGCGCAGTATACTGTAATTAAACTTGCATGGTACAGTAATAAAATTCTGTTAATGTGGAAGCTATTCGGTTAATTTTTCTCATTTAAAAACTACACAAATGGCATTTAGATGATATTCTGCATAAAAAATAAGTGAAATAACGGTAAATTCTGATATAATAATCAACCGCTTATAGTGTTCAAATTGGCTCTGGACCAACGTGATCACTATAAGCGGATTCCACTGCATTTTATTTTCCTCACAGCTTGACTGCAGCAAGGTCTCCCACTCTAGTCCTTAAAGACAGGTTACCTGTAACTTATTGCTCCGTCCCTGGACCAACACATCTGAATCAAATGGCCTAAGTGTCACCTCAGCTTCACCAATGTATCTCATTCTCTGTTCTATTCAGCTGTCTTTAAGCTGATATACGGCTTTCAGTTAAAACAGCAACTGGAAGGAGACTTCTCAAGACAACTGACTGAAAGGATACCCTAGCAAAATCTGTGATCAAATTATATAATTTTATTAAACGACCCTGAGGGAATGGTTTTAAGTTAAAACAACAGTACACATGAAACCCATAATGTAGGTATAATGGTCTATATATAACAAATCAACCTCAAATGAAACTAGAAGTTCTACAGAACTGGTTATATGGTATGTTTGTATTGTATGTATCTGCAACAACATAAAATCCCTATTATTGATGAGATTATTGTGGTGTTAAATTACATGAATTGTGATGATGAATTGCCAACTCAGGCTATATACTAATATTTTAAGATGATTTCTATAGTTAACTGTTTAAAGGTGTCCATTCTTTATACCAGCTGTCTCATTGCTTCTCTGTTAATGGATCTACTTCAGCTGCATGGCTGTTAATCAAGGCTCATTTCATTGCTTACATAGGAAAATGCCAAAGTATTAAACAGAAGAGCTTCAGGACCATTTCGTTCCTGAATTAAACCCATGCCAGCGGCCAGTAAGCCACAGTACAAAGACTGGCTAGCTTAGCAGCAGTAATGGCGCCAAATATTCCTGAATAAAACATTCAACTACAGGTAATGTTTATATATTTCCCATTCTGGCGCCTCAGATAAATTAATGCAGGCATTTCATCTCTATAAACAGTTCATCTCTGAAACAAACAGCTCAGAAATTACTTCAAACCCGCACACCCCCGAGCAACACAAAGACCTAGCTAGCTGCTAGCATCAGACAGAAACGGAACGGACCACATCAATGTTCTTGAAGCCGGTGAGGACGAGGTTCTTCAGCAGCTCGCAGCCGATCCCCCCCGCTCCCACCACCAGAACCTTGCAGCTGGACAGGGAGTCAGCCAGTTCTTTTCGGAGGGAACCCACTAGTTGGACCATGTTGATGTACAGATGTAGCAAGGCAATCCCTGCAAGCAGCACCGGGTGGTTAGCGGCTAAGAGTTAGCTACTCTTTCTTCTTCGACCCACCCACCGGCTGCTCTTCTTCTTCGTGTGTCCTATTAAAGCAACCTATACTCATTACTGCCATAATATATGTGTGGAAGACGTGATATGCATTTCTAACACAAGAAACTACATGTTTAATATTTTCTAACATGATTTTGGCCAATAATCTGTCAGTTTACGTGCTTTTTGAAATAAGAATAAACCTGACCATATAGTAATTGTGCAGATGGATGGTGTTCTCATTTTGTCATTTTTGGTTGAAATATGAGCAGCAATTTGAGCAAGCGATAAATGGATAACACGTAAGAACTCAAATGACAATCCATGTTCTTATTTGTGTTGTGATGACTTTTTCAGATCTTGAATGTTAGAGATCAGATTAGTCAAAGGGATCCAACTAAATGTGTTCAGAATCTCCATCTTCATAAAAAAACAACCATCCCTCCTTTTAATATTAGAAAGAGGGCACATATGTGATCAAGACACATTTATGATAGAGTCACAGCCTATTAGGTCAAAATATTTAGTGTTTTAGTCTTTTTTGGAATAAAAAACTTGAACATAAAATTTGGGTCATCCTTGTCAGATGATGGATGGATAAATGATACAGATTTATATACAGAACATACAATGATTTTGGTATAATCAATTAGTTACTGTAAATTACTTTAAGAAAAGATCACATTATTGGGTGGACTAATGGCCACTGGAGAAAGAGACCAGCCTCTTCATGGACAAGGGGTGGGAGAGAATGGGTTGACATATAAGACATCCAAAAAGTTGAATGACTGGGAAAAAGTAAAATAAATAAATCAAATATTACAAAAAGGTTAGGCCATATATTATAGAATTATCACCCATAAGATCAAATATCATCTGCCTTTATTTCTTGTTGATGATGATTATTAAAGTGTACAGATAATGGGAAAAAAAACTTTAAAAAAAATTAGGATATAACCATCAATTGAGATGTTAAATAAAGGATTATAATACTCACCATATGTGTGACAAAATCCAATTAAATAAGAGTTTTAGTTTCTGAAATTAAACACAGAAAATACTTTCATTTTACCTGCACTAAATTAAAAAAATGTTTGTCCACTAAGTGGCGCTGTTAAATTAGTTGATAATCCCAAACTTTAATCAACCCAGACATGATTAGAGAGTTTTCATTTAGTTTACAATTTTTATTTTTTATTTGTCTGAAATACACATTCATAAGATTGACCTCCACATACATTTCAAACTATTTTAAATCCATAATTTTAGATTAACAAAGATAATATTGGGGATGGATTTAAGACAGCTGTCAATCTTCTCATATAATCCCACAAAATTCACCATAAAGTCAGCTTATTGATTCTCAAAGAGATTACAGAAACCCAGAGTTTCTTCTTCATGTCTCAGTTAAAAAGCCAAAGCTTGAAGATTATGACATGACAGGGAATGTTGTCAGACAGGGAACCAGTTTAGTTAAAAATATTTTGCTGGCACTCAGGGCTATATTAGGTATATTACCTCATAGCATACCTTCCTTCAGCAGGGCTTGATCCCAATGATAACTGACAGTCTGAAAAACATAAAAATCTTCTTTTTGGCCATATTCAATGGGAAGGATCTCTGCCTGTGTGGTTCTTTACAAATGGAATTAGTTTCTTATAGACACATGATGTTTAGGCATGGCTGGAACTTTTGAATCCATGCAGACCAGTTCCCAGCTTGTTTTAACCATGCACATTTTCTTAAAACAGCAGATTCATATAGTTTACTATGATATGAGCCCATATTATCCTTAGCTCATATCTAAACTCATATTCTTGGATTCGGCTTTAAAGATTCAGATGTATTTTCCAATGAAGAGGTACATAACCTATGATCATAAGTTTACCAAAACATAATTTAAATCTTCACCGACCTGTTTTCCCAGAATGCTCTACAGGAAGTCATGCGTTAAGTGTGAAAGGAGGGAGAAAGGTGAGGGAGGGAGAGTGTCTAGTTTGCAAAGCAGGAGGAATATTTCAGTGATATGACATTAGTCTGTGTTGATCTTTGAAGGAAACTTGTTCTGTTTCTCTGACAACTAAGAGCTCTAAATATGGATTTATTGCATGGAAACAAGCTTTTTTGGAAGAAAAGAAGAAGTGAGATCATGTAATGTTTAGTAAGTAAATGTTCATGTCCTTAAAGTTATAGATAAAAGCTGCTAGGTATGAACAAAAATGCATAACACTTGTTTATATTTTAGTGAATTTTTTGGTGAATGTTTTATATATATGTATATATATGTATATATATGATATATATTTTATTTATACTGGAATTCCTTTCTCTGTGTGATGATTCTCCTTCTAAAACCCATCACGATTTGCATAGTAAGTTAGCAAGTTATGTTATTTGACTATAGCATATCTGATAGGAGATAATATTCTCTGCGTACAACCAAGCAGCAGCCTTACACCTATTCTTTCTTATTTTTCTTTTTACTAAACTGTATTCTAGTATCAGGGAGACAAAAGACTTAGCACTGGTTTAACAGCCAGGAATGAATAAAGACATATATTCTTTTAATTATTATTAGGACACATACATCCAAAATGAAGGGAGCCACTGCCAAGCATTGATAACAATAAAACCACAGCAAAGCTTAAAATTATTTTAAAAAGGAAATTGACGGAATATTGATGTTGGAGCTAAGAAATGCTGGTGGTGTAGGATGCAAACTCAAATCTGATTTCATTGACAGCAGGAAGAGGAAGAAACAAAACAGATATAAAGTAGTAGAGTCAGGAAATTAAAGCAAAGACACACAATATAAAACAAAACCAATAACACTTAAAAACATATCAAATGTTATCAACAAACAACAACATTAAAAAAATCACACGTTTATAAAAAAGGCTGAAAATTATCTAGAGAACAAAACAAAAATGCTTTAAAATTACAAAATCTGTTACCTTTGAAAATAACAAAACAATGAAAAAACTGCTTTCTCGCCACTCTATAGAGTGCACAGAGGCTACATGGATGCAGAGAGACATGCTGACTTTTGTGGAGCTTCCAGTCGATATGGGGCTGCTTTCAACCAGCGGACAGCTCAGGATGCCATTCTCAGAAGCCGTCAAGTACTGCATCCTTGGAATCTCTATCCTACTCCTTCTCGCAGCACTGGGAATCTTGATCTGGCAGATCTGCAGATGCTTCTCCCAGACATACACCTCATACCCCAGTCAAGAAGACACAGGTCAGATGGGATCCCTCTGTCACACTGAGCAGCTTATTCTGGTTGGGACTGTTATCTGATCAAGAAAACACAATCATTGATTTAAGGTTGTTTATGCTTTTTGTTTCAGTGAACAGGGATCTGTTGTATTCGGATGAAAAACCATCAACAGCTGAAAACTACTCAGCTCCTCCAAGTACAACGGTAATTTTTAAACAACTCTATTATGACCAGCATTCAATTCTGGATAAAGAGGATTAAAAAAAAAATCTGCAGCCTTTTAATCGATGCTCAGAGCAGATAATTGTATATTGGAAAGTTTCATCCATCCATCCATCCATCCATCCATCCATCCATCCATCCATCCATCCATCCATCCATCCATCCATCCATCCATCCATCCATCCATCC